AAGATCTATCATTCTATGATGTTTCAAGTCCATAGCTTTCATACTTGAGGAAAAATGACCAGGACAAAAATAAAGTAAGAAAAGCAACAAAGGGCAATTGAACTCAAAAATAAGAAATGCTGAGTATCAGTTCTTATGCACTGCACTTCTTTTTAATGAGATCAATCATCCTATGACAGTGCTCTCCATAAGCCCCGGCGGTCGGCGAAATCGCCGACTACTGCACAGTCTACCGCCGGCTACTTTTGCCAAACCATAAAATAAAAAATCCCCCAAAAATATCCTTCGTGGTTTTCTTTTTTTACTGGTGGTTCGCCGAATCGTAAACAAAAACAATATGTGGAATCCCAAGCATGTTATGCGCATACGGTTAGCGCATCTATTTTTATCGTCCTATAATATTGGCGCGCACTGATCGGATTTTTTTTACTGTTTCCGTCTCGTTTCGGGATTAACAATCGGAACCAATGCGGTAACAGAAAACGACTCGTCTCTTTCCGTAAGTTTACGTTATCCAATGATATTTCGTAAATTGTATGTCACGGATACGCATGCCGTAACGGGTGGGGGAATTAAGGTCAAAACTGTCAAAATGTCAGGCCCTCCGAAGAAGAAAATAAAGACAATCGGAGGACAACAAACGCTTCATACGCTTTGGAGAAAAGAACAGGGTACTTTGATGACCTTTTTTCTAGGTTTACATCATTTGTTGACAAAGTAAAAGCGTAATTGAATATATTTTTAATGTCAGTTTGACCTACGAGGCTACGTCATTGAATGTTCGGTACGAGCGAAATTTAAATTGTTAGAAAAAAATTTACTACGTTTTTCTATATAATTTTAATTGATTTGAACATGATTTGATATCTATTTCACGAATAAAAATATCTTTATGCCTGTTGGTTTCTTGTTTAAAATCTATGCATGACTACAGTATAGTATGGAAAATACAGGTAGATCTCTACAACTATACTGTATAGGCTTTAATATAAAAATTAAAATATGAAATATTTCTTTCAAAACTTAGTGCCATCCTTTTTTTCATAATATTGTAGAATTTTTATTTTTGCAAAATAAAGTATTAGATCATTTTTAAAATATTTGAACAATCCTTTCAATACATTAAATAATATGCTAGAATTAACACAAAAAGATATAGACCCTATATATAATGTATAGAATTAATCTTATTAAAATATCACAGTCATGTAAAAGATCCAAAGTCATAACAGATCACTAAAAGAATTATAATATTAGAAAATATATATTCAAAAAGAATAAATATAGTTATATCACCAATATCACAGTAGAGAGCTAATATCACAGTTTTGCAAGGAAAAAAGATGTAAACTTCATACTGATGTGCAAAAATCAAAAACAAAAGAAAAAAATTAAAACAAATTTAAACACATACCAAACAATTTCACAATTTTAATAAATGTATCAAATATGGCATTATAGCACAAAAAACTTTGTTCATTTTAGAATCTGACCTAAGCCACAGTGATGATACTCAGGAAAATGTAGAACCACCTGCCCAGGTTGAAAAGATAAATTTTGTTCCACATCAGCAACTTGCTCAGATTTCAGAAACTGACAAAAAAATAACAAGTCTGAATCACATGCCTCTGACCCTGTGAAAATCTGTATAAGTAATAAAAATGAATTAAGTAAAGCTGAAGCTGTTGAGCTATTGAAGGAACACTTTGAGGATTCTTTGAGTGATTGCAAACTCCATAGTTTTTATACCTGTTCAGGTGTATGCAGTGAACTTTCTGAAATTGAGCTAAAAAGAATACGTAGTGAAAAGGCACCAAAGTGTACTGGCCAAGAAAAAAGAAAAAAGGAAGTGATATTTTTCGCCATGCATGGCTCACTGATAGAAAAACTTCTTACAGTGATGATACAGGTATCTGGTGGCTGGTGTATGTCGAAGGAAAAGGCATGTTCTGTCTACTGTGTAAGACTCATAATACATCCAATAAGTTCAATAAACAGAACACATTCAATATCACACCATCAAACAACTTTAAACATAGTGCCATTTGGATCATCAACGCTCCACGGGTCATAATAGTACTTACTTATGTGAGCTTGAGCGGCGTAACTCATGCCTTGTATCAATGCACAGGGAAGCAAAAGAGAGCAAAGACTTAGTGACATTTAATGCCTTTTTAGCAAGTTACTGGTTAGGGAAGGAAGAAGTATCTAACAAAAAATTGTTGTCGCTGATTGAGTTACAGAAACAGATTGGAGTTGAGGCAATGAATCATTTTAAGAACACACTAGTGAACGTAGTCAAAAAGACATGAGGCTTCTTGTTGGACAAATGATTAAAACTAAGTTGGTTGAAAATGTTAAAACAGCAAAGTGGTTTAGCCTACTCGTTGACGAGGTTACCGACTGTTCTTCTATGGAACAATTGCTGATTTACGTTGGCTATGTTGATGCACAGGGAGATTCACACTTTCAATTCCTGGACTGCAAAGATGTGCTTGAGAACTCTCACAGTGCTAATGCAGCAACAATCACTGAGGTTATTGTTCAAGAATTGAGTTCCTGCCATTTAAGCACAGACAATCTGTGTGGGTTTGGCTCAGACGGAGCAAGTGTTATGACAGGGCCAAAAAATGGAGTTGGGTCAAGGCTTCAGGCACTTGCTCCAAACATGCTTAGGTCCCACTGTATCAGCCATCGCCTAGCCTTAGCATGTGGTGATGCAAATGATGATGTGAAATACATTTCTCAAGTAGAACAAATATTGTACCAGTTATGGAAATGGCTAGAATATCCCAAACGTTGTGCTGCCTTGTCAAAGTGTGTAAAAGTCTACATAAAATCAACCTGGAAAGTAACCCCGAGAAGCAGGAGAAAATCAGGACAAAGCTTGCTGTTAGAATTCAGAAAGCCTGTAGAACAAGGTGGTTGTCAACTGGCCAAAGCATTGCAAGTGTTTGCAAGAACTATGTTGCTTTAATGATGACACTTAAAAGCTTCAGTGAATCTGATGCCACAGCACATGGCTTACTGAAACGCATGAACAATGCGAAATTTGTAGGTGTAATGTTACTTTTAAACTCAATATTGCCTCACCTTAATGCTCTCAGCAAGCTATTCCAGAAGGATCATACATGCTACACTTCAATAAAACCAGCTTTGTCATGTACCAAATCAGCTCTTCAAAACATCAGAGATAATTTCAATGTTGTTGATGAACTTGAGCAGCAAATAAAACCTGGTGGTGCCTATGCTGAACTCGAAATAGAACTATCCAGTATTGACCCAACAAGAAAGTTCCTATCTAATCTACAAATGAACTATGTACAAGCATTATCGCACAGCATCGATCGTAGATTCAGTGAGGCATGTCCTGTTTTACAAGCATTTTCAATCTTTGACCCAACAACATTACCTGCAAAGGCTGATGCAACGTTTGCTGAGCATGGCCAGCAAGAAATTAAAATACTCTGCAATAAATTTAACATTCATCCTGAAGAAGCCTTTGCTGAGTGGCAGAATTTTAAATTTCACATGGAAGAGTGGAAAATACCCCAGGCTGTCATTAAAGGAGAAGATATCTCACCTGCACACTATGTCATGAAGAAGATTGTGAAGGAGCAAGCAGTGTTCAAGGTTGGATTTAGTAATATGGTTCAGTTGGCACAGATTTGCCTTACACAGCCGTTGTCAAATGCTGTTGTTGAGCGTGGGGCCAGTGCTGTGAAAAGAGTTAAGAGTCGGCTACGTAGCTCCATGAAAAATGACATGTTGTCTAGCTTGCTACATATTACACTGAACGGTCCATCCCAGAAATCTGACGAATGTCATTCACTGTTGATGGAAGCCACTCAAATTTGGCGAAAAACTCACATCAGAAATCTGCCACCACTGAAGACAATGCCTCCTGTGGGTGGTTCTGACCATACACAGAGCCTTCATCATGTAACTCCTGTGCTTACAGTTGACTGTGGAGTGCAAGCAGGTATTAATTAATTTGCTTGATCTTTAATATGTAAAATAAGAGAATGGTATTAAATTAATGCATAGTAAAATAAATAAAATTTTAAATCTAAGCAGCCAGGTCTTATTTCAACTTTACTCAATTCCTGTATTTTTGATATTTTTATATAAAGTCAATATGCTGCTGTATGGAAACTTATATTACATGTATTTCTTTTAACAGACCTGCTACCACAACCCTCTCAAAGACGTTGAATGCAATGTTGAGGTTGAGACACAGAAAGCTGTATCTGAAGCAGATGACTATCAAAATGCCCTTCATGCATTAGCCATGGATGACTCAGATTCCGGCTTGAATCAGGCTCTGATGATTGTTTTTAGTTGTTAACTATAAAATGTTCATTAAACTGAGTTAAAATTTGATTTTTTCTGTTCAATTTCAGTGTCTGAGCAAACCTTCCCAATAAAAAAACCAGGTCAGACAGTACCTAAAAAATGTACTAGAATGCACCAAAATGCACGATTTAGCATCTTTAAAAACAAAATTTTCCGGGGGAGGCCCCCCGTACCCCCCCCAGCGGGAGGGGAAACCCCTCCCGCACTCTCCCCCTCCTCGCCGCTTCGCGGCTCGCGTAGAATTTAAACAACTTTCACCGGTTACTTTTATTTGGCCACTGGCTACTTTAGAACTTATGGAGAGCACTGCTATGAAGTTTCAAGTCCGTAATTTTTATACTTTCAGAGAAATGGCCTGGACAAAAATTAAGTATGAAAATAAACAAAGGGCAATAACTCAAAAAATAAGAAATGCAGAGTACCAGTTCTTGTGCACTGCACTTCTTCTTAATGAGACCTATCATCCAATGAAGTTTCAAGTCCATGGCTTTTATACATTAGGAGAAATGGCCCGGACAAAAATAAAGTATGAAAATTAACAAAGGGCAATAACTCAAAAATTAGGAAGTGCAGAGTACTGGTTCTTGTGCACTGCATTTCTTCTTAATGAGATCTATAATCCTATGAAGTTTCAAGTCCATAGCTTTTTTAGTTGAAGAGAAATGGCCCGGACAAAATTAACAAAGTATGAAAATTAACAAAGGGCAATAACTCAAAAAATAAGAACTGCAGAGTACCGGTCCTTGTGCACTGCACTTCGGGTTATTGAAAGAAGCAAGCATACCAAGTTTGAAGTCAATCAGACTTACAGTGACTGAGTTATGCTCCGGACAAGCTTTAGCGGACGCCGACAACGACGCCGACACAGACGCCGCCGCCGCCGACACCGCCGACAAAAGTAACCCCTATATGTCACCTTTTCAAGGCGACACAAAAACGGACCGGTACAATTTCTTTACGGTAACTGCCTGCATGCCAGTAATAAATGTTTAAATACTTAATACTGAATTAAATTCACTTTATTGTCAATATCGCTTGTCCAAACTGAATAGTAGATTTAAATCTGACTAAATAGAAAGGATATATCGTGGACTAACCAGTTAAGTAATACAACTAACCAGTTAAGTAATAATACTAACCAGTTAAGTAATAGAAAGAGCACCGAAACACGAGGCTATCTAATTTGTACGAGGGGGCGTAGCCCCCGAGTATAAATCAGATTGCCGAGTGTTTTGGTGTTCTTTCTATTTTGTATCATAGTCAAACATAACAACACGTTCCCTTTTGTCACACTATGAAACCCCTGGAAAAAGTAACAAATGAACGAGCATTTGAATATATTTCTTCCGCTTTCCCTTTCTCTGCCGTCACAATAAGTAAACCCCAGCAAAAATGAGCCAATCCACGGGCATTATCTGGAGTGCGGGTAACTGATACCTGCACTTCAGTTACCGCACTGTGCATGCATATATATACGATTTAACTCTGACACTATTTCAACAGAAAGGTCCCCAAACTATGATACAACTCTAATATGGTGTATTTACAGGACTTATAAAGGTAATAGTAATTAGTAAGAAATTACGATAAGTAATAAAATATCTAATGTAAATATATGTTCATATGCATTGTTTTCATTTGACAACTGACGTGTCTGTAAGAAACTAAGCTTTTATACCCACGAGAAGATTACATCATGGTCACTTCAAGTAGAAAAAAGTAATAAACAGCTCGTGAGTGAAAGGTTTGAGAAAAGGCTGGTACATGTATTATCTATTCAATTATTATCTTTAAAGAAAATACATCTTATTGAAATTTGATAATGATATTAACGTTATTTCCATCATAATTGATTGATTCGAAATTTATTGTATCATTTAACAGGGAAGTTTACAAGCCTAAATGCGTGCTGGCCAGGAAGTTGCCATGACAGCCACGTCTTCAGAATGTCAAGTATTGGCAGACACTTGCAAAGTCACAACCAAGGTACTTTTTATAATGTTGATAAATAATGAGTTATATGTTTATCAATGTATTTATTAATTAGAATGAAGCGATTTGGTAACGTTAAATATGTATTATATCTAAGGCAATAAAAATTATATTCCTAAAAAATAACTTATTAAATCGATTTACTACCAAATCATCGTTTTTCTCTTTTCTGTAGTATAAACATCAACAGAGAGTATAGGATAACTTACAATTTATTAATTTCAGACCCACAAAATGGATACCTTTTAGGAGACAGTGGATACCCGTGCCGACCATTTCTTATCACACCCTTTTTACAGCCAAGTACGTACACATACACATTTAAATATAAACTTAGTGGTAGCATATTGTTTTAAAAATTCGATCTTTTCATAATTTCTGTTGACATTTTGAGACTGGTGATCAAGAACAAACCGTTCATTTTGTAGGAAACGAGAATGAAGAGCGATTTAACAAGGCACACATTTCGACACGCAATGTAGTAGAGAGAGTGTTCGGAGTTTGGAAGAGAACCTTTCATATCTTACATGGTGAAGTATGTCATATTTAATACACTTGTTCCAGTTGTATTTCAAAAAGTTCATGTCCTTTATAATTCTCTTATTGAGAAAATTGTCAATGACAATTACATTTGTAATGACATGTACATGTCCTTCTGTTTTACATTACATAATGAACATTCAAACCGCGCGATAAATTTTATTTTTATTTGCCGTGTTGTACGTTCTTAAAGGTTTTGACGCTTACATTTAAAATAAAATTGACACATTCTTTCGATTATAGATACGCATGAAACCACATAGAGTCACACGAATTATTGTAGCCTGCGCTGTTCTGCACAATTTAAGATTACAGTGGGGTGAGCCTCAAGAGGGCAGTGACTCTGACCAGGACCAACCTCCAACAGAGATATTTCAGGGGACTATGGATGGCAAAGGAGTGAGACAGCACATTGTTCAGACATATTTCTAGGATAAAATATAGTTAGTATATAAGAACATGTTTTTAGGCAAATACAATCTATTTTTCGAATTTCAAGTTTAACAAATTTTATACTCCAAATACAATATTTCATTTAAAACATCAAAATTTTAACAAGTTCTGTCCTCAGAACAAAGCACCAAAGCATACATTAAATAGTTTCGTTTATATTAATCAATTTTATATTTCTCTATCAAAACATCAGCCAGCTGTGCAAATTTATTGTAACATTTCATTTGTGTCTCGGAGAGCTGGATCTGCCTCTCATAAAATGTCATCTGTAGATCCTTCAGTGTTCTGTAATATATAACAGAAATTTTGGCGTACATAACATATTTATATAAATGATCAGCATTATTTTTTGTCCAATCACATTGTAGTATTTTTCAAATTTCTGCTAAGTCTAACTTTGGTTGATGTGTACTAACTAAATAAAATTTACTTAATCTGCCGTCTAACCTGAGTCTAACAATTTTCAATAATGCATTATATTAGGGAGGAGTTAGAGGTGTGATTTGCACTCTGAATTGTAAAATATCTGGGTTAGCAAAACAATGCCAACGTAAAAAACAATTGGGCGAGGTCAGGTGTTTCTAAATGTGAGGATACAATCAATTAATTTATTACATAGATAATACATGTGGGGCATGCAGAGACAAATGTTGTTTTTTTTATATCCTTTTAACTCTAAGAAAAGTGCCTGTTATAAATTGCTGACTGTTTTAAACTTCTTTTTTTCTAGAAAAAGTAACCAAAACATAATTTTCTTTCAATTGATAGGAATGAACTGCATTAACAATCCTTGATATTAAGAATACAATGATTATAAATACATTTTTTGACTGGAAAACTCATGGTAAATGAACAGCCTCCACCTGTAAACCTAGATTGGCACACAAAAAAGCTGTTTTTCAAATGAGCAAATCAATTGGGATTTTAAATGTTAGTGAATAACTTAAAGCTAATAATGAATTTGTATAAATGTAAACGAAATAAATTGTAAACCAAGGTTAAATCAAAGCTTAGGTTTTAAAATTCATTTCTTTATATCTTTTCATTTTTAATTAGAAAGCAATAAACAAAATCTCAAAATTATTTAGAATTTAAGGGTTATGGTTAGGGTTAGACTATTTAAATAAGATATGACCATTTCAATATTTTTAAGCCAGTTTTTTTCCTAACAAATATTAACAACATAATAGCAAAACACCAGTACATATTTTATTTTCCCGAGTCCCTCACAAAGCTTACATTTCTATACTTTTAGTATGAAGAATATGACAGTATTTCTATTGTTGTATTGTTCATTTTTCACCCGTATGGCTCTGTGTA